ATACTCTTATAGTTTATATATCATACAAACTTTTTTCAGTCATTCAATATTCAGAATTTTCAGTTTATCGTTCAAAATGAGGGAGTTCTTGCCCGTATACTGTACTTCATTTCTGTCCTTATTAAATATCGTATTTATTTAGAAGAGAAACACTGAAATATATGCTTTCAATTGGAACACTCCTATTCAAATACACACATGTTTTTGTTGCTTTTGGAAGAAACGTCTTTTCTGCTATCCGAAGTATGGAATAATTCTGAAAAAAAATATACTAAACAATGTCTGGCCTATCCCCTCATCATAGTTTTTTCACAAAGAGATTTCCTCAGAGTTTGCCGTCTGTAATTATGGCGTATATTTTCAAGCGCTTTAAACACAGATGAATAGGGATTATCAGGTTATTAGGTTTTTCTAGATGAAACCACTCTGAAAAGAAATTGCTAAAGCTGAAGTTGATTGAAAGAAGAATGCATGTTTATGACACTAGTGTCTAAAGTGAATTCGAGTCCATGCAGCGACGTAGCCAGCACTTGGCCCGGAGTGGACCATGGCCCACCCCTTATAAATTTTATTTTCTTCATTTCGCAGTAGAAAAAAATATTTTGATTGAATTCGAAAGTAAAAGTACTACAAAAGAATCTTTATACTGTTTTCTGTGGCCGAAAAAAAGGTTTGGCCCACCTCTTACTGGAATTCTGGCTACGTCGCTGAGTCCATGATTAAAGTTTAGTGTCTAACGAAGAGAAAGCAAATTAAAAATACATTCAGTGGACGGTTATATATTTATTTTTATTCATGTCTTCATTCTGATCGTAATTACTCTGTAATGAGCAGGAAAATCGTAAAGATTTTTACACAGATCGATAGAGAAGAATCTCTTCTACTTTCGGAAATAAAAAATAAAATTTAGGCAAAAACCACGTAGATTATGTCGACACCAGAAAAGAAGTCAAAGTATAATTATAAGGAACCCGCTGTCGGATTCACCGAAAAATTTTGCACATAGCGCCCAATTTTTACCTAATTTGGTGCAGCGCGGAAAAAGTACATAATTTTCTAATACATTGTAGTGGGAAAGCAATGCCTGAAACATCATTAACAAGTTATTTTACACCAGATACGGGAGATTTAAAAACTTGTCAACTGTGTTCCACTGTGTTCCACACGATCTAATAATCATACGTGTTCAAGTGAAATAACAAAAGTACCACAACATTTATTTTTTAATTTTACAGCTGCTGATTATATTTCTGGTAAACTAGTAGAAACAAATCAATTTTATTTAAAACGATCAATTAACATAGAAAGATTTCTTTCAACAAATACTATTGCCCTTCCATGTTATTCACGTTACTACTTATATTCTTTTATTGTCAGTGTCGGTTCCAGTGACAACAGTAGGCATTATTTAGCCTACTCTAAATATGGAGCACAGTGGTACAAATGTAATGATAATATAATCGAAAAGGTAGAAGAATCAATTCTATTTTCTGAACATTACACTGCAGCAGCAGCAATGTACATGCGTCGTTCATTAACCGAGAAAACTGATTTTATTAAGACAAATTATAAATAACTTTGATGATACGATTCAACGTAGTACAACAAGAACAAGTGATCCAAAAATGGCGTTATGTTTAGCAAATGCATTAAATGTCATATTAAAAGAAACGAATGTTTTATCTTGGGTTTTTGCTTTTTCGTACACATGTTTACAGTGTACTGAAAGTAGTAAGTAAATAACACTTTTTCTGAGTATTAAAGTAGAATACTATTTTTCTTTCTGTAGGGTGGCGTTCTATTGGTTGTGAATATCTTCGGTTTTCAAATGAATCAGATGTTTCATCCGATGGAGTTCTAGATAAAATAAACTAGTTCAGAAGTATTTTGTTCCAAATCTGCAATGTAAGTTATCTACTTATTATGTCATAGGTTTACTTTTTACTAGAAATGCGGCAACAGTCCGCGCTTATAATGGAATGTTTGCAACACTGATTTATAAATCCATTTGAAAACTTCAGGTCGTAATTGTCCTGGTGAAACACACACTAAAAACGAATGTTACATAATCTCTGAAAATTCAAGCCATTTATTAGTAACCCATAACACAAGAAATGTTGGTTTGCATCGATTAATAAGAGATCATTTATCACTAAGATGCGAATTAACATCGACTATTGTTGATTATTATTTAAATATTTTAATAGTTATTACTGAAAATGCACGAACGCTTATTGTTAAAAAGTGTTCCAACTCCGACTATTTATGTTATAATCAATCGTTTAAACGATTCGAACCATTATCAACTTCATTCACTCAACGTGGATTTGCTGCAAAAGATTTTATTCTATCTCACAATGAATGGTTTAAAAATAATATTGTTTTATTTCCCATTCATCATCATCAACATTGGTTGATGTATATAACTGATATTCAAAACAAGTTTATCGTTGAATTTGATTCTGCACTGTCAAACACCTTCCCCAAAATAAAATATATACAATCAATATTAAAATTGTTAGACATTCAATACTATCTATCATTCGGACGAAAAATTCACTTTAAACAATGGGCTATAGCTCGCCCAAAGTCTTTTGGACAGCAAGATGACACATCATCCTGTGGTGCTCATTGTGCTCTATTTGCAACAAGCTATTGTACTGCTACCCGTTACCCTCCGATTACCAGAAAAGTCATTGTTCAGTATCGCAACTTAATAGCTATGCACCTAATTGCCCATGCATAATTTCATAAAACTACAAACACACAGTTGAAAAATTAACACGCTCTTTCAGTTTCACAGTTAACTGTCATAAACCATTTCGAGAGCTTTATCAGCTGAACTCCCCATCGAAACAAAACATACAATAATAAAAAAGCAATGATGTGAAACTAGGACCCAAGGGCTAACATACGTTCTCACGCGCTCAACATGAATCTTGATTTTCACCGGCTCTCAGGCATAGATTTCGATGTCATCGATCACTGTTTCGTGTTTCCCGTGCACTTTTGAGTTGAAAACACGTTTTCATAATACCGGACAAAATCAAGAACCATAGAACGCATGTGGTACTCCTTCTCATCAGGAATCTCCGATTTTGTCCGGCTCCCAGGCATAGATTTCGATGTCATCGATCACTGTTTCATGTTGGAGTTTCGAGTTTACGGGTATCATATTTGCCGTGGAATTTTCGGTTGAAAATACCGTTTTATATTGACAAACTCAGGGCATGTTTCTGGAGGGCAGGTATTGAATGCAATGATTTGGTGTGTGAAAGTAATGCGCTGGGTTTTACTTTTTGTGGATTGGGTGCAGATATACTCACTGGAGTGGAACGATGAAAGTTATGAATTGGTTTAAGGCTGGAGGAGGTATTATTGATTTCTAGAACTTGGATGAGTAGCGTTTGGAAAATTGTTGAATTTAGCTGAGTTGCGAAGGAGAGTGGTGAGGTATTTAGTGGATTCTTCTTGGTATTTTATGCTTCATTTTTATTGCATGAATAATAGGTTGAATAGTATTGGCTGTTGTGCTAGCTTCCACACTGTAAATGGTGTAATGAACTAATGGGTGTGACGGCCAATAAAAAAAGTGTATGGCGCTAGTGTGTCACCCACAAAAGTTACTGAATATTTAATGGTTCAAAATTCAAAAGTTACTGAATATTTATTTAACATAGAAAAGTGTATGACTGGTAGTGCCATACACAAAAGTATATGGCGCTAACTGGAGCGATCTTTTTATTGCTCTAATTTTCTTTTGTGCTCAAATTGAAAAGGATACTCCTGGTGTTCAAATACAAACGGACAAGAATTTTTTCTGTCGTTTACTGAATAAGTATTAAATGTTACTTTGTCATCAGCTGTTTTATTTTATTTTAACAACATTAGGAAATAGCTTATTTCATCTAAATACAGACGAAATAAGTTATACAATAATAGAGGCTAAAAATTCTGGTAGAAATAGAAATGCTTACTAGTCTGTGAGACAAGTATCCTTTGTCATCCACACATGGTTTGTTCATGACATGGTTCCTAAGCAATTATTCTCGTACTTTAGGTGGAAAATGTCTGATGAGTACAATTGTCCTGCGTGTCCGTTTGTGAGAACAAAATTGTAATTTTTTTATAAGAGCAAATGAAAATTTTTTTGAATGAATGACACGAGTCAAACAGTCGAGTCAACGTCACCCAATTTCCGAGTCAGAGTCAAGTCAGAGTCTTTAAACAAATGTCCGGCTGTGGACTTGCGAGCCTCGTTTCATTGTCTTAGCCGCTACCAAACATTGTGTCTTGCTTTCCACAATTCATTTCATTTTTCTAATTCACTTGAAAATACGAATTTTAAACAATCAAACGTTTTACATATTTTCTCTATGGAAAAGAAATAAAATGCTTTGGCCAACTTATGCACATGGAATCTCTACTAACCCACAGCCACTCCTTGAGCATCAATATTGCCTGTAGCCCCGTGAAATTCTAAAAAGAAAAGCCGCAGCAACGTCTAAGCTCAATTTACTAAATTTGTTACATCAGTCATCATCTTTTTGTCCAGAAATTCACTTCTAGTCACTGGGAGCCCACTTTGTATTATGACAACGATAGCATCAACAGCTGACCGAAAATCTTTAAATGGAGAAACAACAGCCAAAATCTTAAACAGAAAATCGAACAATATTACTAAAGTAAACTTTAAGTAGACATGCTGCCTGTCTCTCTGGCAGTATGGTGGTAGTTTACAATCATGGCGTACATTGACAATCTTCTTGAACGAGTGATCCAGATGAATACAACTTTAATTGAGAAATTTGATTAACAACAGCAACAGATACTAACTCGTCTTTCAAATACAACATCAGCAGTTAGTGATACAGAGGAGGGAAAGGCCAAAGGTATCAATAAAATTAATATCAAGCCAAAAGAATTTTCTGGTAATCCTGATAAAAATGTCATCACTTGGATAATTGCTCTAGAAGAAGTCTTGCAGACAAAGCGAAAAAATGTCAACAGCTTCAAGTTTACTCAATAATAATGCTTTACAACAGTTTGTTAATTTACGATTACAAGGTATGAGACCAATGACCTGAGCGGAATTTAAAATGAAACTCGAACATGCATTACAATCAGCAGATTTTGAAGAACTACTCCGTCATCAATAATATCATCTCAAACCAAAACACTATTTATGTGAATCCGTTGCTTCATTTCGTAATATTGTTGCCCAAATTGATATGATGGATGAATTAACACAAGCGATGCCATTTACTGAAGGTCTCAAATCAAAAATCTCCTCTCTATGTGCGCATAAAACGTGTGTAAAATCTAGATCGAGGTTGAGGTCAAAGGTCTATCCAGTATGGACGTCTTGGACTTCCTGAAAAAGTGAAAAGTCTGTGAAAAGTTCCTAAATAATTTTGCAAACCTATCCAGTTTTTTCCGTGAAGAGATGAAGCTAAATTTTTTATTTCATTAGAACCGCCATCAAACGAGCTTTGAAAGTATGCATCGCTTTCTTTTAAAATTTGTTTCGTTCCTGAGAAAGTATATTTTTTCTGAATCAGGAGCGAAAAAATCGGAACTCTGCTCGTAATTCTCTGTTTTCTGCACCAGAATAAGGAAATGAAATGTTATTTGAAGCTTATTTAAATCTAAACTTTTCATCCAATGAATTTCAGTTCGAATTTTGAATATCCTATATGTTTTAGTGACACTATAGCGGATGCACTTAGTCGTCAGTCCTCATACCACAAAATTAGGACATTTAATGAGCTGCAATTGCCGAAAATGGAATAAACAGGTCACAGCAAAGTAGAATGACCATAGAAATATTAAAAGCGGCGCCAAACTCTCTCATTAAAAGTCTCATTAATTAAGTACGGCGCGAATTCTCTTTCTATTTTTAAGACATCTTGTACAGAAATGACTCCAAATATCAAAATTGGAAAATCGAAAATTTACTTTTCAAGGAACTAAAAGTTTTGAAACTTTAATTTCAATTTCATTCGACAGCTCGAATGGAGCTATACAACAAAAGTCTTTTTTCGGGACTTCACCTTCTGGTTGAAAAAAACAATTTCGAACCTATAAATTAAGGTTCAAGACAGTAGAAATTGTTTCGCTAAACCGTTGAGTCTAATGCCACCAAAAGAAACAAGTTTTGACAGCAGAAAAATTCCGCTGTAAATAGCGTTTCTTGAGACAGTTAGAACGCTAAGTTCACCATGTTTTATCAGGCTTTCGGAACAACGGTGACATTTGTCTTTTCCCGATACGTTTTCTTTTCTCTCTCATCTTGTTTTACTCTCTACAATACAAATATCGTATTGTTAATTTTAAATTAAAATCAATCTTATACCTACCAATAGAAATAGAATAAAAATAACAAAAGAAAACAGAGGAGAGAATAAAAAAGTTAATCAAGAAACGTTTTTAATAATTTTATATTTATAATTTTAAAAAAAATATTAACCATTTCTTGTTTTTTTTTATTTGACACGAGAGAACAACAAGAAATGGTTAATATTTTTTTTAAAATTATAAATATAAAATTATTAAAAACGTTTCTTGATTAACTTTTTTATTCTCTCCTCTGTTTTCTTTTGTAAAAAATTTTATAATCATTTTCTAAAATTTGTTTTTGCAATGAACAACATCAGAATCTTAACTACATTCAACATGTAACAGAAATGTTGGATGATTTTGATAAAGAATTTGACACATTATATACAGTTCGTCGCCACAATAGTAACATCCATACAATGAGACATGTCCATTTATCGTTAAAACGTCAAGCACCATTATATGAATACACAACATTTTTTTTCGAAAACTTGAATAAAATATTAAAATCATTAGCACATGGTACTGTAGAACATCCAAAGCAATTGATATCGAGTATTGAATTATTTCGAAGTGCATTATTTCACATACAAACACCATCTTATCCGTTGTTATTACTTTCATACGTTAAAGATTTATTAGATGAAAAAACAAAAGCATCAACCGCAACATCATTGTTGACACCAGCCGTAAAATGTTATCGTCGATATGAACCATTTTTTTCAGGTAATATCAACAGCACGCAAAGTCCACATGAACTATACGCTCTTTTCTCTGAACATACTAAGAATATTTGCTTTTCAAATGTTATTATTACTTAATTATAATAGAATAATCTTGTCCAACTAGATCATGATTCGACTGTTTTAATTTCTTTTCAAAGAAGAGTTATCAAAGAGAGTATACTAACTAATCAAACTAATGGGAAAGCCATCAATGAAGTAAAATATAAACTGAAAGTGTTTTGATATCAAAAGAAACTAAACTGAAATGTTTTTGTTTTTTCTCTCTCTCTATTTTTACTTACATATATACGTGTCTACTGAAAGCCAATATACAGTTCTATCTCTTTTCACTTGAAAATGGCAGCAGTGACTGTCGAAATATTATGAAAATAAATCTGTGATTTGAATGAATCATGATCTTCTCAGCAGTTCTCTACTTCATTTCACTATCTCAACTCTTTCATGTAAACTACTATGTGTTTTAAAAATAGAAGGGAAAGGAATAAGGGATATGTTATTAGTTATCAAATCCCAATCGGCCACTCGGAAATTAAAGATAGTCCTTTTCACTGAAGGAGGACGAAGCAAACACGTAGGAATATAGAATTCAATAAAATTATGATCACTTCGAGAAAGAGGAGGTTGAATTTGAAGTCGTTCAGTAAAACTAGGATCATTTGTTATTACAACGTCTAAAAAAGTCTTTGATTTCGCCCTAGTTATATCTCTCACAGTTTGACTTAGCCCCTTTGAAGTCGTAAATGAGCCTAACAAGATACCAGCTGCTGTTGATTGTACTTCAGACTCTGCCCAAGCATGAAAATGAGCATTAAGATCTCCTAGTAAAATAATTTTATCGTGTTTATAAATCCTTAGTGAAATAGAATCTAAAATCTTCGAAAATGTAGTGATAAAAGTGCGGAAGTTAGAGTTTGGAGGGCGATAGATATTGAAGAGTAAAACAAATAAATTTGAAGAGAGAGTTAGACGTAAACAAATCGATTCTAGGGAAGGATCCTCCAATTGTGGTAGGCGTACAAAGTGAGTTGAAGAGCTAATGAAAATACAAACACCACCACGTGTTGTTTTTTTCTTTTTTTTTGTTTGTATGATATACCCCTGTCGTGTCTATCCTTCCTTACCATATCATATTCAGAAAGTTCGATTCGCTTATTCGAAACTGATTCTCTCAACCATGTTTCGGCGAAGCATAGAACGGAGAGAGAAGTGAGAGAAACACAGGCTCGAATCTCGACAATCTGTGGAACTATGCTGCGAATGTTCATAGAAGCGATTAGCTTTTTTTCTCTCGCTGGTGAATTGTTACCGCCATATGGGGAAACAATGAAACGCATTATCACATATCAACTTCCGAAACCCCAGTGACCAAGGAAGAAGGAAAGGGGAAAAGGAGAAAAACAATAAAACCAAAAACATCTTATGTAATGGTTTACCATCCTGGAAGGGAAAAAAGAATAACAAATACGAATAAAAAAGGAGGAAAGACCTCTGTGAACTAACAAGTGAGTTTAAATAAATCAGTTAGTCATACCACTTAATTCACTACGCGTAGAGGAGAATTTTTCTTGCCGCGATGAAGAAACACATAGCCATCGCGAGTGAAGACACGTCGTTTGCCGACACCTTGCAGAATGTTGCGCTCTCGATTATATATAGCCAAATTACCAAGTGTAAGATCTTCTAGAATCACAATAGGACAATTCTTACCCTTCAGCATCTTCAGCGAGGCAAGGATTCGCTTGACTGTAATTTGACTGTAAAATCGGGCGATGACATCTCGAGATTTAGACATAATTGAGCCAACAGGATTCTTGAGAGTTGGTTTAGGCTTACTCGGCAATGGATGACAATACTCGATAGAGTTAGATATACTGAGTCCAAGACCACAATCTGTATTGCCGAAGAAGGAGTGAAGAACCTGGTACAGATTTTCGTTCTCCTGTTCTTCAACACCCAAAAAGCGAAGACACCAGGTTCGAGAATAACGTTTTTGATCTTCGATATCTCGTTCCAATTGAGCTACTCGTTCCTCAAGCTTCACGACACGTTCCTTTAGTTGTTCAGCAACACTAGGTTCGAGAGCGTCCGCCATATCTTCTTCGATTTCTCCATTAAATTTCTGCTCATTAACAATCTGCTTTATTTCTTCTTTGAGTGCAGGATCAGAGCGAAGAGTGTCAAGTAAAAGTGTACACACGTTGATTGCACTGGTAGTAGCTTGTTGTTTCAAAGGAGGAGAATTGCTTGTTTCTAAGGCGAAAGTATCTTGAGTTCCTCTAGTAAAATTTTAAACTCTATCAGATGAAATTTATTCGAGGTCGTAATGCGATCCAATGAAGCCCGATAACAAGCACACTTTCTTCTATCAGTCTGTCTGTAAGAAAAAAATTGAATGTATAGGAAAGGAGAGAAAAATTTACGAAACCCTTAACTGTTCTGGATTGGGACGTACTGTTATAAAAGCAGGTTCCGTGTCGGAATTTTTAGCTGTAATCTTCGTTCTTATAAAGCTTTAAAAAAAGCATATCGCTTGTGACAGAAACCGTAATCTGAAGTACTCGAATAACTGTTTTACTGATAAAAATTCTATGAAAATCAATTTTCATATTTGAAAGACAGTGCTGCTGCATGCTTTTCGTGTTTCTAGAACAATTTTTTAGTTTTGGGTACATAAAAGACATCTACTTATGGTTTCGTACGAACCCGGAACTTTCGTAGAATGAAACATCGTAGAACAGAATTTCGTTAAAACCGCTATTCTTCCAAATTAAATCCAATTTCACGAAACTCTTCTAAGGAAGAGTAACATTGTCTCTATTTGAAATCCTTACTAGATATTTGTC